TGAGATGTTTTGAGCCGGAGGAGGTGTCCTACACTCGAAAACCTCAAGCCTAAATCCTAAATGCTAAACCCTAAAAACCCTAAACCCTAAAAATCCTTGAAACCCCAAAAACCCTAAACTCTACCCTAGATGGCCTGGCAGTCGCTTCGGACAGCCAGTCGAGGCAGTGGTGGGAACTTGACGGCGCCTGCACGAAAAGGTTGAGGGTTCAAGGTGTGCGGGCTAGGGATTAGCGGTTTGGGGATTAGGGGATTAGGGGTTTAGGGGTTTGGGGATTAGGGGTTTAAGGCTTTCAAGGGTTGGTATACTGGTATTTTCTACATCGATCATCTTCAGGGCTTAGGGTCTAAAGCTAAATTTTGGCTTAGGATTTAGCGTCTTGGGATTTTCTACTTGAGGGTATACAGCATAGGGTTTCGAACTTTTTTGGGCATGTGGTTTAGGATTGCATGTTCGCGATCAGGTCTTAGAGACAAATGCTGCCAATAGTTTGATGCTTTTGGGGTCCTGAAAGCAACGACACGTTGTAATGAACGCACACTTCTCATTAGGGGTCTTTGCAGTCTGGACCCTGAAATTTCGAGCAATCAGATTAACAGTTAAAGCCCGCCATATGAAAGTCTGCATTGCATCAAGAATCCCTGCTACAGGGTGTGATTTCCTTACACACCCCCCAAACCCAAACCCTAAACCCTAAACCATAAACCATAAACCCTGAAGCCTAAACCCTAATCCCAAACCCTCAACCCCAAACCCAAGCCCTTCTCCTCCCCTTCCTTCCCTTGAGAACAAGGCCATATTGGCACCAGTCCGCCGGGACGAGCTCTTTGGTCTTGCTGACACCTGACACTTTCGTAAAACTTTAGGGTTGGGGAAGTGTAGGGGGATCATGTTGAGTTTTGAGCAGCGCCTAGAGAAGTACAAGAATTCTTGTACGGGACTGCGGTTACATAACTATCCCAAAAAAACACCCTTACCCTCATCATAACCTCAATTACACAAGCAAAGCCGCTCTACAGTGCCAGGTGGAACTGCATGAACGGAGACAAAATGAGACAAGGGCTCCAGAAACCCAGCCAAGGCTTCCTGCTCAGATGGAATTCCTGCAAGAAATCAAGAACTCCTACAGTCAAGGGCTCTTCTAGGAGATTATGGGGATAATATCGGGAGGTTACATGGGTGTTATGAAGCCTTGCGGGAAAGCGCAGGCTCAGGGCAACAACAACCAAATTCATCACAAGGCCAGCCCCCCGAATGTGAAATATCTCCCTTGCACAGTACCAACATAGGAGTAGGGGTGAGAGCGAACAGGCAGGCGACACACAACTAGGAGGCTGGCACACTCACGTTACTGAATTGGGCTATCATCTCCATGAACTCCAAAGAAGGTTGCGGACAGCCCCTTGGAATTTACCAGATCTACAGAATCTGTGGTTCTTGCTGCAGCTGCCCTTGACATCTTCAGGAAGAGGGAACCTGCCTGGATAGCGTGTCACCTATATATTATCGATACTGCATGTGCAATAGGAGGTCTAGACAAGGTCTATGCTTGACATGTGCATTTTGAAGTCGGAGGGCGGTCTTCTGCGGCTTATAGTGTACTGATTCAGGACCACCAACTCCAGCCAAGAATAAACCCTGTCTGTCGGAAATTTCCCAGATTCGTGAGAACATATCAACCCTCTTATGGCCCCCCTGGGTCCCCTAAGAGGAGTATAACTGGGAGTATATCTGGGCTGTAACTGCAACTATCATTGGTTTATAAGCTTGAACCCCAAACCCTAGTTACCCTATGTAAACTTGTTCGACACCAATTACCCCGACCTTTCAAGGCCTTCCTGGACGCTCCGGCAATCGCCTCGCCGCTGGGCCCGAGTGAGGGCCCACAACTTGCCCTTTGACCCAGGATTACAAATGGGATTCTGAATGCGCTCCTTTAGACTTGATGTTGAGATCTCTCCATAAAATCACCAGGAACAAGCTCAAGGCCTGGGCTAGAGGATTATTGCATCGAGTACCCAGAAACCCCATTCTACCCTGCCAAGTGCATGGATACAACTCCATTAGTTCTGCCATTCTGACTGGCCTACTCCAAGGTTCTGACATGTCTTACCCTACTAGTACTAGATGATGCCGTGTAAGCATAGGCCAAAGTCTGAAAACTCCTAGTATCCCCCTTAATGAACCTTTTAATACTCACCCATACAATCCCGTATATAACCCCTTTTCAGGAGCTTAGACATGCTTAGACTCTAGCTCAAACGATTCCATGTGCTTGAGGCGGATATTGGACGGCTACCTGCTGCCTGAAGCCAGTGAAAGGTGGCAGGCTACGGCACCATAGCGGACAGGGTTCAAGTCCAGCTAGGGGGGGGGGCTAGGGTTTCGGGTTTCGGTTAAAAAGAGTTGTGGGTTCATGAAGTGTTTAGGCTTTATAAAGGGATTTTGGTTTAGGGTATACATAGAAGGGTTTGAGGTTTAGGGTTTAGGGCAGAGAAACAGGGCAATCATGAACGTGCTCATGATCTGCCTTGTAGGCAGCAGCCACAGCAACTATTTCTATGATCCTCAACAGCTCGAATGCTCGCCCTGGGCCCCTGAGTCGCCCAAAAAACCTAAACCTGACACATCTTCCTGTTTGAGGGGGCTGAGAACATGGCCATGTGAGTGTAAGCCTCAGGACCAAAACATAACGCCCTAAAGTACACATCAAGCCAAAAATAAACGGCTTACAGTTACTGGCTGCAGGATCCGTATCACCGGCAAATGAGGACGCCAAGCCACACCCCTAAACCCTAAACCCGATATAACCCATTATAGTAGTTTCCATTTTCTTTTCCATTATCCCTATATAACCCCTATAAAACCCCAATATAACCTCTATATAACCCCTATAAAGCCTAAACTGCCCGCAACCCTAGCTCTCAATGGCTAACAGCGAAGACGTGCAGCGTTCTTGGGGCTTTCAAGGGGTGCCCCTCCTCAGGACTGAAACAACGCTTCCTGCATTTCGGAAGACTCGCAGTTTTCCGTCCTGAGAAAACCCTATATGTATACGAAGATATATGTATATATAATATCTAATAGAATATATATGTATATATCTATATATATTCCCAGCACAAACCTGAACAACTGCACTCAAACCCTGAACAACGCTCATGACAACTTTGTCCGCGCGGCTTTAGCTGGTCTTCGTGGTTTACCTAGACGCTGGATGAACTGCAGTGGATCCTGAACATCCTACATGACCCTAATTGTCTTAGACCCTGGGAAGTATGGTGTTACAGTACACTATGGTCATGTCGGATTTTGAGCATTAACAGTACTTTGTCAAGCGTATAGCCTTGCAGGCTAAGATTGCAGCATAGAAGCTTGAACAGTCACCAAGATGTTGCCCTTGTAGCCAGCAGATTTTCACAATAGAATCTACCCCAAAACCCTATTCCACTTACTTAGGCCACTACAGTATTGCTTCAGATCTAGGGTGCCCTGAAGCTAGCGGGACCAGGAAGGCAGGCTTTAGGGTGTAGGGGCTTTGAACCGTTGGGCGTGGCTCAGGGTTCTACCCAGACTCTCCGATGTACTTCCGTTCGGGTACAAGATTGTCTTCCCCTGGCCTGAACATTGGCTTCCAGGACTGGGAAGGATGTCGTTTTAAATGGCCAGGTGCGGGCAATAGCAACATTTTCTGCAGCGTGTAGGAACCCTAAACCTACACCTTGGTTCTGGTGCTCCCTGTCTACCTTCACATAGCTGCCGTTCAGTGACCAAGACTTTCGCCTTGTAGACCTCACATTGTGACAGCAGACGCTACGGCTGTCCCCAGACCCAATTCTAATTACTTAGGCCGCTACAGTCTTGCTTCAGGTTTACTGGGCTGCTGTTAAAGAACTTACGTGTAGTTTCCATGATGTGGGTATATAGGGTTTGGTTTTTGAGGCTTAGTGGTTTAATAGGGTTTCGGGGTTTAGGGGCTTAGGGTTCAGGCATTTAAGGCCCAGTGTTTGGGTTGTAGAGCCCTTACAATGGACTATAGGTTCCCGTGAACTTAAGCTCTTGCTGGTTCTCGTAGTTCAGTGTACTGCGACCCCTTTTGGAGGATGTCTATGAGGTCGCGGAAGAAGTCTTTCTGTTGGAGATTCACGATTGATCGGGGACCATGCTTTTGGCATAGTCTGTGTGTTTATGATCTGCAGCCACAACACGAACACCAGCGTCAGCAGCAACAAGCGCGACAAAGTGTAACAACATCAGCCAGCACGGGCGGCGGCAGCCGCTGCAGCCACAAAAACTATTGTCATCATCCTTGTCGTCATATCCTTGTCATCACCAACAATATCACCATCATGCCCGCACCGCCCCCCCATTCCCATCCACCACCATCATCATCCATAGCATCACCAATAGATGCTGAGTTTCAACTGCCATCTGATAAGCGGTTCGTTGCAGCTTTTTGCGATTTCGGACGTGTGCCCCATGTGCCGTTTCCAAATTCCAGTGGATCCCGTTTTAAGGCTCTATTGTGAGGGGTACCCCTGCATTTGGAAACCACCATGGTCATCTTGTCCGGTGGCACCACGCTGGGTTGATGACAACCAAGCCTTGGCAAATTTCTTGGTGAGACTCATCACTCATCCTCTCCCCTAATATAGGACCCTTTTGAATTCTTGTGGCTACTTAAGTAGGTTTAGTGTTGTCTTATATTGGGGAAGGTGATTAGGCCAAGCCACTCTGTGATAGAATGGCAAGCCTTAACAGACAGCAAAATGAATTAGCAAATCATAGATAAGACGCCCTCCAAGGTTCCAGTTTGCAAGCTCCGTGATCGCAACTGCAGCGACCCGGCTTGAGGCAATGAATTGCCAAATATGCATGATATACTTTTATATATATATACGCATGCGGTTGGAGCCTTGTCTTAGGAGGGTTTTAACATAACGCGCAAACTCGCGCCATGTGAGGAAAACAAATAATAAGCTTTGCTTCCGCAAAACAGGCTACAGCTTCATGAGCAAAAGCCGTGGGTGGTCTTGTAAAGTGGCATCCTGCACGGCTGCCAGCACTGTGGAGTTGCCGATAGCACAGGCGGACCGCAGCGGAGGCAGCGTTGTAGGCAAGGCCCACTTTTGCAGCTCTCTGGCCCCAGCCCTTTTGACCTGGATGGCTTCGGCTTTGTCTTCTGAAAAGATGAACACATCGTCACCTTTCGAGGTTCGGAGGATGTCGAAGCCAACAAGCCCGGGAACTGGGCGCGCTACTGCCTTGCGGCTTGGAACGTGCAGGATGCTGTGGTTCTTGCTTACGTAGAACTCCTCACCTGCCAAAGCGATGCCAGAGATGCCAGACAGCTGAGTGAAGGGGGCGTTGGTCAGGCTCTTTGGGCCGCAGCTGTGCAGCCTGCCACTACTTCCCAACACCAGTGGCCAGCAACCTGACTCCGAGCACTGCTCAGTAAGGCCCTGGACACTCTCATCCAGTGGCAGGTCCGGACATTCTACACTTTCTACAAGGCCACCATCCACACCATGTGAAATCTGAAAAACTCCATCCTCACTAGCAAGCCAAACGCGGCCCCCCTGCGAGCAAGTTATGGCACGAGCACGGAAGAAACCATCCTGGGTTGCTGTTAAGGAACTTAAATTAAGTTACTATATTGGGGAAACCCTATTATTTACTATATATACCCATTATGGTAACTTAATTTAAGTTCCTTAACAACAACCCAGCATCAGCTGACCAGTTCATGTCCACCTCCGTGAAATTGACCTCTGGGCTCAGTTGGCTCTGATCGGCCTTCCCTGCGGCCAGCTGTTGCAAAGCTCCCAAAGTCAACCAAGCCCAAGGCAGGCAAGCTAAGAAGTGGCTCTTGAGAAGGAGCCTCAGAAGTGACTATATAGTAGTTTTCCATGTTCTTTTGCATTATCGCTTTATAATACTCTGTTTTATACCCCTATATAACCTCTATGACATCTTAATATAACCCGTATATAACCCCAATATAACCTTATAGTAATCTACATTGAGAAGGAGCCTCTTCATGAAAACCGCCGTCCGCTGGGACTTCTTCTCGCTCTCGAAGAGGAGCTGGCGAAGCATGGGCTCTGGAGACTCCCTAGCCTGGGTTGCTGTTAAGGTTTAGGGGTTTAGGGTTTAGGGTCTTAATTTAAGTTACTATATTTGGGAAACCATATTCACTACTATATATCCCCATTATGGTAACTTAGCTTAAGTAAGTTCCTTAACAGCAACCCAGTAGCCTGAATCCCAAGCTCGGGGTCCTCTTGCTTGCTGCCAGTGCCTTTTCCCTGCGCCAAACGCCTCAGTTTCTCGGGGCGTGGAGGAGGCAAGCCACTTTGCTTTTTTTCACTGGGAAAGGAGCGCAGCAGGAAGAAGGCGAGGTAAGCGTGCAAAGCTCCATGGGACATGTATCCCACAAGCACCAAACCATCTTCCGGAAGAAACACGCCACTCATAACCGTCAACGGCCCCAACAGCATCAAGAGCTTCAAAGCCAAGTCTTTCAGTTTACGCGATGGGTTGAGGCAGTCTTCGTCTCTGATGTGGTGCCCTTTCAGGTCGAGCTCAGACTCCACTGTCACAAGTCGAGAGGAGACCCGCCCCACGAACGCGAGCGCAGCAATTGTCATTGTTGCAAACATGCCCAGCCTATCTTGAAGAGATCGCTCCATGTGCCGTCCTATCAAGAAGTATGAGAAACTTTCGCACAGAGCGAAAACGCCCAGCATCATGGAGTTATGGCTTGCTAGAGAACAGGGCTCCCAGAGCAAGTTGTAGCCCCCAATGATCTCATAGAAGCTTTGCTCCAAGGGTCCCTCCCCCCTCTCCTCATCGGACTCATTCGTAGGACTCACACCCCAGAAGTGCGCATTGGTCCCGCCCTTGTGCAAATAGTCCACCTTCGTGGACTCGTTGAAGTCCTTCATCCTGCGATCGAACTTCTCGAAGAAATCCTCTGGTTCTGCACTCTTGCCTTCCTTGTGTTTCTTCCGTTCCCGCTTCTCAGCCAGGCGCTTGGACTCCATCACGAACGGGACGCGCAAAGCTTCGCCCTTGGTCTCCCATTCGAGAAGCTGCGAGATGTAGTCGAAATTGTAGGCATCGTGAACGTCGGGCACGAACTTCAGCATGAACTTGCGGCTTTCGGCATAGGCACTGGCTGCCCCAATGAAGCAGAACAGTATGGAGCAGCCAAAGTACAGCATGCTAATGATCAGCGAGCTGTAATAGGCATAGACCAGTGAGTCTGGAGCTTCATTGTCAAGCTCGCCCTCGCAAAGAAATGCCGTTGAGATCCCAAAGAGCAGTGTGTTTAGCAAGCCCGTGTTCTGGAGCCTTCCCACAAAGATGGTCAAAAAATCGCGCATCTCCTCACGGACGGATGCAATCCAGGTAATGTGGTAGTTTTTCTCCTGGTACATCTGGTTCTGCTGCATTGCAATGGAATCCTGGGCTGCTTTAAAGAACTTAAGCAAAGAAAACCCTCTTATTTACTATATGCCCATGCCATGGTAACAAAATTTAAGTTCCTAACAGCAATCCAGAATCTGCAAAGGTGTCGCGAGTGTAGGCTAAGCTTGACATAGCCAGAGCCAAGGCATTGAGGGTATTGCCATAGCTATACCACACCATGGTCGTCTGGCTCGCAGAAAAGCTCTACGTAGGGGAGTATCAAAATTGTGGTCCCCTTTTGATGGTCCTCTGGAATACATTAATCCGTGATATCCAGCATATCCAGCCCTGAACCCTAAACCAGCATATCCAAAGGATGCCAAATGGATGATTCCCTGTTTCAGAGCCACCTGCTGTCTTGAGGGACACGGCCGCAACACCGCCAACCTGTGAGCTGTCCTCTAAACTCCTGGCATCCACCCTAAGAAAGCGCGTAATACTCCCCTATATAATCCCCTGTATAAGCCCCTGAAGCAGTTTAGACTATAGCCCATGATTTATGAGCTCCGACCAACGGCTTCCAGCGTAAGGACTGCAATCAAAATGCGGACAGCTGCAGGTGCTGCTACTGCTGAACCTGCCAGTTGCTGTTGTGGCTGCAGCTCCTGTCCTTACTGCTAGCCACAACACTTCTCCAACTTCTACTCCCTCTTCTTCTTGTTGCCACCAGTACCGAGATGATGACGACAACGATGCAAAAGACAATGACGAAGACGATGACGACCACAACCAGGAACAGCGAGAACAATGGGGATAACAACTACCGCTTCCGCTATGGCCAGTGCTCCGCTATAGCTGATCTTGCTACAACTTCTACAGCTAGACGACTACTGCAGAAAAGCTGCTGCTGCTGCTGCTGCTGCTGCTGCTGCTGCTGCTACAGAACGTGAGCGAATCTTATGCCTGCTTCAGCACCGGGATGGCGGAAAGTTTCATGCGGCTGGCGGCCTCCGCCTCGTGCAAGCAAAGGTTTTTGATGTCTTCGTGGGAGGTCCACTGGGAAGTGTCTCGATCGAAGCCCCTTATGTGGTCCCCAAGTTTTCAAATCATGCTCGTCTACCACCCGCAAAAAGCTATCAATGTCTTTGAAGAGAGCTTCAGTCTAATGCAGGCACCGACGGGAGAGAAGAGTATGCTGGCCTTCAGACGCATTGTATTGCTTTGCTGTGCTCTCCTCGTGATCTGCACGCTTTCGTGGTGTGAGCTGTAAGCATGATGAGCAGGAATTCAACAGGAGTTGATACCATGATCGTACTAGCAAGAGTCTTGCCATGTTCTGCCAAAGAGATCAGCAGTATATAGATTTGGTTAAACCTCCAAATACAAGAACCCGGATTGATAGGGACTTCCAAAGAGGTACCCCTGATTTTGCGAAATCCCATGTAGAATGGTAACAAGAATGGACGGATCCCAGCCCTCCTTTGTAGGACACCTTACGAAGATTAGGGGCTTTAGAAGTATGCAAGAGATGGTCTGCAACTTTAAGCTAGCAACATGCTTCTGGCCATCCTCTATCTGAAGTAGAGACATGGATCATGGGTTCATGGGTTGACTAGGAGGGAGGACTGCAGAAATGGCGCACAATGTACTCAGCTTTCCGATTGCGCTTAAATAAATACCCGTCTTTGCACCTTCTTGTCAAGCTATGACTAAGAGCGTACAACACTAGTGATCACATGTCTTGCGCGGACTTTAATTCAAGGAGCCGTTGTGCTCCATACACTTCCTGGTCCGCTTGCAAATCCCACCAAGGCAGATTTGAGGTGTCGTGGACTCGCGGGCTGGCACGCCACATGGTATACATAAAGGGTAACAATGTCGAGCTATTTTGGGATAGTACCCCAAAAATTAAGGGAGAGGCAACTGGATATGAGAATGGATAAGGAAATGGAAGCCCCCATATATAGTCCCAATATCTACCTTATTATAACAATGTAGTTTCCATGTTCTTTTCCATTATCCCTATATATAATGCCTATATAACACTATATAGGAAGGATCCCACGGGCCTCCTTCGCCTCATCACGTCGCGGTCTTTGCGCGACCTCATGAATGGTAATGGTCTGGAATCCTCAACTAAACCCTAAACCCTAAGCCCTTAACTCTAAAACCTATCCCGCAGAATAACATGACGTACTATGTTGATGAAAGGAGACCTAACTCCTTCTCATATATTTATGGGCATAATGGAAAAGAAAAAGAACTACAATGTTCTAAGAGGGTTTAGGGCTTGGGGGTATATATTGGGATGATATGTATGGGTATATGGAGATATACTACTTCAATAATGGAGAATCGGATGGAAAATACAATGGACAATGAGATGAAAACTACCCTTTACAAGGTTTGCAAGGATTATATCAGGACCCTGGGAAAACATAGGGATTCTATCGGGATTCTATGGCGTCTCCATGCAGGATTCTATAGAAGGAATTTTGAGAAGACCCTACATCCTCAAGGGGTCCAAAGCTGCGGACAAACGCGGAATGTGCCACAAACAAACGTTTGCATAGTCCCTACTCCACCAAAAACTCAAATCTCCAGATACTTCCGTTCACTTGCGTTTCTTCACCTAGCGAAATAAACATGCAACAAGCTCTGAATGTGCCTCTAGATCTTACAGGAGCTCCGGTGCTAGACAGCTGCCACATTGCAACGTGCCTGCAGAATCTGCTCGTTCTAGTCCTTGCAGCCCTGCAACAGCCCACCCTAGACTCTCCATCTACCCTCTACATACCCTAAATAGAAACCAGACTACCTTCATTTGAAGGGTACAAGGACGGTCCTGAACATTGAACCACACTCCACAGATCCAGGGTGTACCTGCTGAGGCTTCGAACCTTGTTGACGAGGTGGCAAGGGGCAGGCCCACCTCAACCTGCATGTAGGTTTAGGGTTTATAGGGACTAAATCTTCAGGGCTAAAGGGGATGGAGTTTCAGCAAGGGGGTTTGTCAAAATGATGGTCCCCGTTTGGGTGCCCTAAATATGAGGTGCCGTATACATAAAAAGTTGAGGACCCAGAAGAGGCCATAATTTTGACAACCAAACAACATTCCGGGTAACCCTGCGGGTCGGATCGGTAGTTAACGTAGACCCCCAACCCAACACGCACAAACGATCACAAACGCGTCAGCACCTTTTGTTCATAGAAATTGCGGATCTGACGCTGCATGCCTGTTCTCAAAGTACAGGTTCGTCTTGAGCACCATCGCACTACTAATTTACCACCCCACCCCCTAACAAATGCAAAATCTCTGATTCCTCAAAGGGGGTATTAAATGATCGGGCTTGGAGGGGCATAGATTACAGCCTGTCCGCTGGCCTAGACGTAGGCCTTTCATTTCTTTGCCTCGACTGTAGGGAGGAAGTACGAAGTCTTGGGCGTTTTTGGCGGGATAGGACTTTCCAGGATCCGGGCTTGAGCGCTATCATCATGCTGTCTGGCTGTTTGTTTGCGGGACTGGGCTCCAAACATATATGCCTCAACACCAAGTAGTCCACCTGCCGCACCCGACTACCACCTCAGACTCTTAGCTTTTTGGTTTTAATTCCCTACACACCCTCAAACCATTACCCGAAACCCCTCAAGCCTAAACCAGGGAATCACTCCCCCGAACCTCCCACTTAAAACCTGTAAACCCCCCGCCTGTTCCCGAGAATGGTGGATTGCCCATGGTCCCCCGCGCTCCTGAAAGCATAGGATGTTGGGTTAGGGCTTAGGGTGAAGGTTTTAGGATTAAGGGTTTAGGGTTCAGGCTTTAGGGTTCAAGGTTTAGGGTTCAGGGTCTAGCCCTAAAACCTAAACCCCTAAACCCGTTTTTGCTAGGGCCGTGCGCGTGCTTGTCTGTTGCGACGCGCACGCTTTGGCGCCAACTCAAGGGGATTCCGCAGGGTACACTTCATTAGAGTGTACTTAAAATGAGGGCCATATAAACCTGCGGTGTGGTCTGACAGGCTAGGATGAAATCGTTTATGCATGACTTCTATCCAGTATGGAAATTGCATCCCTCTTCTTTTACCTTGGGCAAGGATCCTATCTTTATTACCTGAGCAGAAAACTACGTTGTAAAGTGGTTCATGTTCTTGAGACTCAAACACGTCATGCAACATTTTGTACTGCCTGACTTTCAAGGTTTCGGAAGGGCGGTTTGGTCTGCCTGCTTGGCCCCATACGTCCAGATGGGAAACCCTAGAATAGTAGGAGGCTTTGATACCAATAGCACGTCGTAGAAATCTATAGAATTGGCCGTCAATCTTCTTGAGCTGCTTGTCCGTTAAAGTAAGTGCGTCTAAACCGTAGGTGAGGCAATGGACAAATGTCGACATGAAAAGCTTTATCTTACGGGTTCTGGGCATGTTGCAGTTCCAAACTAACCTCATCTTCTTGTAAGCGGACTCCGCAACACCTAAACGGTGATGGAAAGCCGTTTCAAATGGTTTATGCCACGAAATGAGAGATCCCAGGTACTTAACGCTGGAAACTACTTCAACCCGTGAACCAGATTGGAATCTTAGCGTCTGTGGGTGTTCTACTGACGAGATGAGTTCTGTTTTGGTCTCGTTAAGGGTCATACCGTACTTTAGCGCGTCAGTCTCTAACCCCGTCAACATCGTCTGGAGTTGCGGTATGGTCAGCCCCATGAGGAGCGTGTCATCTGCATACTCCAAATCGTATGTCGGGTGCCCGGACCATACATTAGTGGGCTGACCCTTCTGTAACATTGCTTCATCCAGGCCGTGCATGATCACTGAAAGGACGATAGTAAACAGGTAATTATGGGCTTAACGGGCAGCCTTGTCTAATACCAGCATGTACTACCCCCGTTGCAGTTTGTCCTGTCCAGGAATTAACGCAGAAGGTGGGGCTAGTATAGAATTTTTCGATAAGGCATAGGTAATTTTGGGCTATACCGAATCGTTTGAGAGCCAACAACATTGCGGTGTGGTCGATGGAATCGAAGGCCTGTTTCCAATCTAAAAAGAGAAGGTGTAAGGGCCTGTCCGTCATTTTCGCCCACTCCATGGCCCTTCTGAGGATGAATAACGGCTGTCTAGTGCCCCTTTTAGCTCTAAGTCCGAACTGTGTTTTACGTATCTTGTAGTCTGAAATGGAAGCAATCCTGACCTGTAGCATTGTGGCAAACAACTTATAGGTGGTGTTGAGTAAGGAAATGGGAC